CGCCGGTCCTCCGAGGCGGCGGCCGTGGGGAACGCTGAGTGCCAGACAGGCGCCTATCTGGACCGTACAGTACCATGGTTGTTGCTTCGGCCTGTGTTGTGGCCAGACTTTTTTTTCTGGTCCTGACCGTCGGATGGGGCTTTTAGGGCCCCGCCCCATCTGGCCTGGCCTGCTTGAATCTCGTCACCTCTGCAGGCAGCCTATAGCGGGCAGACCCTAGCCCCAAGGCCCGCCACCCGTCTGAGAAGATCCAGGGATGGGCAGCGCCACCTGGCTCGCTCCAGAGCCAGCATGGGTAAGGGTGCCCACTTGCCGCAGCTGGACTTGGGACCCTTACTCGGTTCCCGACCATAGCCCAGCTGGGTTCTAGGCGAACGTTCCCTTGCTTGACTGCCTGTTGGGAGTGCACGAAACCTCCTGCCCCTTCTGTGGAACCTATAGGTTTTCCTGTACGGACAGGGACAGGGAGTCTGGGTGGAGAGGGGATTCTATGGGAGACTTTACCCCTGTCAGGTTTGGAAGTGCTAGACCTGATGTGGTGAGACAGCTCCAGGCTAGTAAGCCCAGCCTTCGCCCTTTCCTATGAGTGACCAACCCCCAGCTGTGGGTGGGTAAGTTGACTGTGTTAGTGGAGGAAAGAAACCGAAAAGGTAAGATTGGACATGTAAGCTTCACAGGCCTTGTTAGACCTCTTAGGCACAGTCCAATCTTGTTTTCAGAATCTCCCAGAGTCAGCATAGAATTGCTCGGAAGGAGTGGAGGAGTCTTTAAGAATGTTATGATAAGGTTAGATTTAACATGAAAATAAGTAGACTCCAGATTTGAGATCCTTAAGGCCAGTTCAGACAAGAAGAGGCCAAGGTAGAAGGGACTTCAGGGGAGAGGCACATTTGTCTCGGGGTCTTTCTGAATTCTGGGTCAGAGAGAACAAGAGTGGGGAGCTGCAGAAAGCCAGGATTCCTTTTGTTTATGACTTCCCAACAGTAGCCTTTGAACTGTCAGAAAGCTGGTTAGCCCTTGAGAAATTGCCCTTAATTATGGCACCAGAGACCCCATTGAATTTTGGGAGAGGGTTGTATCTGGCCAGAGAGTTGCTATCAGGCAGGCGTTGAAAAGGCATTTCTTTTTGAGGGATGGATGATAAATGAAGAAACCAGGCCAAAGAAGACCCTGGGACTTGGAGAGATTGCTCATCAACCCTTGATTTGTCAGACCATTGAGTCTCTGGGCCACACCTCTTAAAGGGTCTAAAGAAGTAACCTCTATAGCAAACATAATGCTAGATCTCTTAGGAGGGCTGAGTTGGAGCAAGCCATAGCCCCTGGCCTTTTTTCCTCCCTTAAGTATTTTCCCAGGTGATTTTTCTAGTCATTGTGTGCTTTTTTTTGTTTTCTTGTTTTGTTTTTTTTTTGGTATTGGGCATGGAACTCGGACCTTGGGCTTGAGAGGCAAGTGGCAGAACCACTGAGCTAAGTCCCTGGCCCTAGTCATTGTGTTTTGACTTGGAATTGCTGTGCCTAGTCATTCTCTTTTTGTTAGGAAGAACAGAGAAAGGATGCTGCTCAGATCTCAACCAAGGTCTGTCTTCCCTGAACTCAGTACTCCTAATCCAGATCTTGGAATATGAACATATGGAAGTCAGATTCATTCAGTGGGCTCAGGAGAGACCCTGAGTTGGGCAATGAAGAGGGAGACTACCCAGAGAACACAGGCAGGGTCCAGTGAGTTGGAATCTCTTAGAACTAGAAACAGTTACTTCAAAACTTTCTCTAGATTGTATTGGTACTTTCTAGAACATGGATTTCATGTGAGCCAGGCTTATGGCTCAGGATTAGTTTCCATATTGCAAGGCCCTGCCTGGGTGGCCTGATCACAGGGCTTTTTTTGTTTTATTTTGTTTTGTTTTTTGTTTTTTGTGTTGGGGATCAAACTTGGGACCTTGTGCTTGTGAGGGAATCAAGGGAATCACTGAGCTAAATCCCCGGCTTTTGTTTTTTTATTGAGACAGTCTCGCTGTGTAGTTCAGGCTGACCTCAAATTCACTATGTAGCCCAGGCTGGTCTTGAACTCTTGGTGATTGCCCTACCTCAGCCTCCCAAGTGCTAGAAATACAAGCATGTGCCACCACACCTGGCTGACCACAGCTTTGTTGTTGCCTTGCTGAGGATTAGACTAAAGGCTTCCAGCCCCTTCAGGGTCAAAAGAACATTGTTCTTTCTGCAAGGTTATGCAGGAGGAGGAAGAATTAATGTCCTGCTCTTTTATTCCAATCCCAAAATGTTCCATAACTTACTTGTCTGAAGGTAGCCATTGCTAAGCATTTTAACCTTGAGAAGTCCTTGACCTTTCTGGAACTCAGCAGGCCATCTAGGTTCTCTTCCTACAAGAGAATCCTGTGGTTCTCCAGGATCTGTCTGTGCCCCTTGTTCATGTAGGGCAGACTTGGAAACTGGGACCTGACTTAGAACAGTCAGGATATGTCTGTACAAGCAAGGGGCAAAATGTGAAGATGCCTGGCTTTTCATTTAACTCAAAATTTAGTCCCTTAAGAGCTGGGGATGTATCTCAGTGGTTCCATCCGCTGCCTAGCAGGCACAAGGTCCTGAGTTCAATCCCTGGTACCAAAAAAAAAAAAAAAAAGTTTAGTCTCTTAAGTCAGGCAAGGTGGTGTACATCTGTAATCCAAGTTACTCAGGAAGATTGGAAGATCAAGGTATTTATGATGCATATAGTGAGACTTCACTTCATATATATTAGTGACTAAAACTCCTTTCTGAGCTATGTCTTCTGTTATTTTCGTGGTTGGTGGGTTGGGATGGGATGAATGATTTGAGAGACACAGAATTCTTAAGTTTTATTTTATTTTATTTTGGTGTTTTGAGACAGGGTCTTGCTCTGTAATTCAGACTGGCCTTGAACTCAGTGTATAGCCCAGGCTGGCTTTGAACTCATGGCAGTCCTGCCTCAGCTTCCTGAGTGCTGGGATTACAGGTGTGTGCCACCATTCCCAGTTCTCAAGTTTTAAAGTTAAAAGGTACCTTATATCAAAAGTTTCAGGGGCTGGGGATTTAGCTCAGCGGATCCACTGCCTGCCTCATAAGTACAAGGTCCTGAGTTTGATCCCCAGTACACCCCAAAAAAGTTTCAGGATTCCCTTACTGAGCCATTAGTATCTTGCTTGAAAAAAATTTTTTTTTACCAGTCTCATTTTGTTTGTTTTATTTTGTTTTTCTGTAAATAATCAGGTTTTTTGTTTTCAGCCATTCTTTGTCTGGCTCTGGGCTCAGGCTGCAAGAAGAAAAATGAATCCTACCCAGCATTGATGTTGGAGGCAGAGTAATGTTGGTTCTGTGTGCTGAGGGCTTATTTGAAGGGGCTCTTATTCCTGTGAGGAAGAGACTGGCAGAAACTGCAGAGGGATATATGTAACTGGACTGTGGATCTAGGAAGGTCTGAGATTGCTTGAGTGAAGTTTTCATCACTTCTGTGGCTAAACTGGGCATGGTGACACATCTGTAATCCAGCTGCTTGAGAGGCTGAGGCAGGAGAATCTTAAGTTTGAGGCTCATGACAGGGCAACTTTTTGAGACCTTGTCTCAAAATAAAACGGACAAAAGGATGGGTTGGGTGGCGATTTAGCTCAGTTGGTACTGCACTTGCCTTGCAAGTGAATTCAGTCCCTGGTACCAAAAAAAAGGGAGGACTGGGGCTATAGCTCAGTGGTGTAACACTTGCCTAGCATTCCTGAGTCCCTGGGTTCAATCCCCAGTACTGCCAAAACAGATACATATTGCTACGACTGTTGAGTCCACCTCCTGGCTCCTACATCCTGCTTCTTTTCCCTTTTTTAGGAGCCTGCTAAGTGTTTGTTCTCACAGTGCCTGGGAATCTCATCAACATTGTCTGTGGCCATCAGTCTCTTTCCTAGACCCTGGGTGTATGGCTTCTGCCACTTTAACTGAGACCTTGATTCAGGTATCAGGTTCCTAATGTGATGCCCAATAGAGCATCTTCTTAGGGTAAAAGAGCCCTTCTGAGAGATGAGAAGTTCATTGGATCTGGTCATGGATCCTCAGTGGGTGTACCTTTAACAGATGGCCTTTTGGTCGGGGGATTTGGCTCAGTGGTTCTACTGCCTGCCTTGTGAGTACTAGGGCCCAAGTTGATCCCCAGTACCACCAAAAAAAAAAAAAAAAAAAAAAAAAAAAAAA